CAGTCTCGTCGAATGATCGTTTTGGTAATGTTAAAGGGAATGCCTCACATTTGAACACGTTCAAGCAAGCATGGGGTACGATGAAACGAGCTTATTTATAACTATTGGTTTATCTTTAAATGGAAAGACAGCTCTAGACAGCACAAAACTTTGTTTACTAAATATGCTCGGCATTGCGTCATGGTTTCATTATTTCATCGCACTTTGCATAACATTGATTGAGATTCACTTGACGGCCGTGATGTCTGGAAACGCTCTCACGAACGCCAGATATCAAACGCTTCGACATTTATATTTCTCTTGGCCTCGATCACCGCATGACTTTTGGAATGACAGAATTTGAATGACATATTATGACGTCATGAATGCCAAGGTGACTTTGAAATATTATCCCCGATATACCTATCCACATTTGCATGGCTGTCCAGCTCGGAAACTAGGGGGCCAAGGTCTTGAGAAGGGCAGGGCTGTGAATAGCACCGAAAGGTCTTCTAGATGGGTATTTCACTTCAAAAGCTTATGTAAATGTGGAACACCCACTTTAATTTGAGTAGTTATGGAGACGTTTCTACACCATACATAATACAGAATGTTGTAACTGACTCCACGGTCCTCAAATTTACCTCTCCTTCATGAAAGAAAAACTTCATTCAAGCGTATATGGAGCATTTCGAAATGGTCAGGCATTGGACTGGTGCTGACCTGAACACCACAGTTAGAGTTGGCTCCAGAGAGATGCCCCACCTCCAGTCTCGCCGGCTCATCGCTAAAATGATGGTAATTTGAGCAGTTTTGGGGGGCGTCACTACGCCCTACATAATATAGAGTGTACTATGACGAAACTGTATGTTGGAGATAATGAGTAATCAGAGCTCTCAGAGCATCAGAGCTGTCAATAAAATTGGATGTGTGGCAAAATTTGTGTAGAAAACGCAGTAAGAAGTGATCTGTACTGGCATTGCTCACTGCGAGGTGACCATCTTGCAGTGGCTGGAATCGGATTGTCCAATGTCCATTTTGAGGCCCAAATGAGACTTAGAAAGACGAGAAAGATTGGTGTCAAAAAAAGAAAAAGGGAGATCGATTAACTTACGCTCGAGTGAGGGGTCAAATTGACTCCCCCGAAGATTTTTCAGAATGGTTTCCGAGCGACGCGGATTAGCCGCGCCAAATTTTGCACAGCTGTAGACAATTGAACAGCGCATCGTTTGATATAACAAATTTAGATATACCTTGTAAGGTTGTTGACCTATGGCAGGTCAAAGTTAGGCTATGGCGTCAGGGAAGGCAGTTTCTCGGGAATCGTCTAATCTGATACAATAGCGGAGTGTCTGACTAAGCCATCCATCTCTGAGATGCTTTTTTAGGCACCACAAATATTGAATGAGCAAGTCACGTTGATCTAAGATCAGGCTTGAATGTTAGACCAACGTCAAAACCAACCTGATTAATTGCTCTAGGGCTTGCTGTATGGGATAGATTGTGCTACTCATGCCGAACATTATGACAGCAGGATCCGCATTATGCATCTTCCATTTACTTCTTAGAGGTCAGAACAGGTCATTGAACTAAGATGAACCGGGCGGACACTTCGTTTTGGGAACATACTGTCTAGCGTAATCTTTCTCGCTAATTCAAGTGCAAAACTCAGAGCGGTCTTGTATCCTTTTGGTCACCTTGACCTTCAACAGGTCAAAAAGGTCATTGACCTCAAATGGTCTCGTGATCTTTTGTTTAGAAACAATTGCCTAGGTTCTGGGGGGATTTTCGAGACTAATCTGGAATTTGTCCTTGTTTGACATTACTTGACCTGAAGGTCATGACCTAATTAGGGTGGTCCATGCCAAATCTACGCGCTGGATGGCAGTGTTACGTCACTCAGCTGACGCACAGCGTCTCTCTGTACCTTACGGTGTTCTTCCAGCCGCGTACGTATAATCGTCTTGGGATAGATGTGAACAATGATTTTGTTTGCATGTCGTTGAACACTAGTGATCGGTGTAAACGTGTGTTTGAGGTTCTACAGTTTAACCAGACCATCAGCATTCTAGCTGAGTGGTGGAACAATACACGTGACTTTTAACACTGCACTTAAAAAAGCTGGCGTCTTCCTGCCAAGGATTTCGAGATGGCGCGAGCTTTCTTCCAAGGTATCGGATGGTACATGTTGCATCGCCTGTACATGGGACCTGTATCAGTGATGCATTGCATCGACAATATGTCATTGACTGACATGATTGCCATGACTTATTGTCATCTAGAGAACAAGTGGGCATTTACATTACTGGTGCTTACCCATGATTTGTACCTGAGCAACCAAAAGATAGTGGCAGCAGTCGCAAAAATTACTGATTGAAAATGGAATAAAACCATGTCATTGCACAAGCACGACGAATTACGAAATGGCACAGACGAGTGCATTTGATTCACATGACGAAACGCTTGCGCTCGCTTGCGAAACAACTTACTCCGTCACGAAAGGAACATAAGCACAACTTCCCCAGCGTGTAGCCCAGGGTGGGGCAAGTTTTCTCATTTGCTAGATTATTCGGAAGCTAGTTGCCGAAGAAAACCAAGAGTGCTCTCCAAAACTTTACTGCTACATGTGGAGCAGAAGACTATATCTGTCTGCAGATCTAACAGTCTTAGCTCTATCCTCACCAGCTATAGCAGGCGGGAGTTCAGAGCAAAAACTGATACAACTCTCCGTATTCTCCCCAACATTTTGATCACTAGATATTTTTTTACACTTAACGAGAGAGCATGTGGGCAAATTAATCCGCAGATTATTGAGACTTGCACGTGCTGAAATCAGGGTGGTAGGCTAAATGGTTCTCAGCGTGAGGGGTAAATGTCAAATTCGCCAGAAATTTTGCGATTTTTTAACACGATTCCTGCAAAATCACCGGCATCTAGTGTAAGCTTCTTGCCCTCCGGGAGGTATGACCTATAGGCCCTTTCCTTTGACATGCCGCAGGTTCAAATATACACATGACTCATTTGTCTGATATATTCGACATGGTTTTGTGCATAAAAATCGCTTACCGACCGAATATTGCGTGGAACTGGTTTCGTTATAAGCCTCTGACAACAAAAAATAAGTTGTGTTTTTGAGTAGCAGGTAATAGAGGTTTTCAAACTTTGCAATGGAAAAATGCGAGAAATTCCTTAGACAGC